AATAGTAGGTGACGATCTTCTTGACAAAAGACGTCAATTTCGTGAAGCTATTGATGTATATAAAACTTATGATAATCATCATTTAATGTCAAAATTATTAGCTGAAGTTATTCATTATTATTTAAATGAATATTTAGTAAATCAAATTAATGATACTAACAATCCCGAAGATCAAATTACTCGTAAACAAATTGAAACTATTGAATCATACTTTAAAGAAGCTATAGAAAAACAAGATTATTTAACATATTTTATCAAAGCTTATACATTAACAAATTTTTTTTATAAAGTATTAAATAGAAACTTAGCTTTATATATATTAGAATATTTTGATGAAACAAAAACTTTTTCATCAAATTATCGTCTTGTAAATTGTCTTGTTCATATTGTAACACTTTTAATTTATAATCCAAATTTACCTCAATATCAATATCAAGGTATATGTTATCGTGGTATGAGAATAACACAAAATGATTTTAACCAATATCAATTAAATCAACATGTATTAAATCGTACATTTTTATCAACATCTACTGATCGTCAAGTAGCGGCGATGTTTGCTGGTGAAGGTCAACAATCACAAATGAGATATACACCTAACAATCATTGTGCATTACAATATTCATGTTTATGTCAATATTTAATAAAACAAAATTCAACAGCTATGGATATACAAAGTATATCAACAAGACCAGATGAAAAAGAAATTTTAATTATTCCATTTTCCGTTTTTAAAGTAATGAAAATTAAACGAAATTATCTTGATGATTCAACAGCATCGATTTCCATTGAAATTGAATTAGAAGAATGTGAAGATGTAATTGATGATAAAAAAGAATCAGAAAGTATGCAAAGGATACTATGTTTTTTTCTTGCATGTTTTAAAGAAAATTTCTTTATTCAATTCTGTTTTTCAAATTTTCAGGTAAACCAACATCGAGATCATCATCATTGTCATCATCTGATAATGATATCAAAGAAATCAATAATTACGTAAAATTTAAACAGCGAAAATATCTTTTATATGGAATTGTTGGAATTTTGACATTAGTTGCTCTTTTGGCGTTAACTTTTATATTCATTTTTACTTTTGTTGTTAAAAAAAGTTCCCCGAAAAATACTATAAACAATACAACGACGGCATCAGAAACGAATGATATTTTCGACTACTACTTACCACCAAGTAAAAGTAATACAATAAAATGAGCTATAAGATGAAACCTCTTCTGAACTTCTTTGCTTTAGAAATGCCACTTTCTAGCATTCGGATTGCTGGAATTTCATTAAGTTAAACAGTAGAGAATCCATCATCATAGATTTTCTAGAAACTAGAAATACTTAGGAAATGCAATTATAGAAGATTACAAATAGCCTACTAGTGTTTCTAATTTATTACTAGTTTTCAGGCACTAGTAACAAGCTGCAAATTAACTTATCGATGCCATATATGTATTTGGGAGCACCCAACCTAATATATTTCAAATGGTCAGATGAAAATTCCATGCGTTAAATTTTTTCATATTAATGTGAATAGATGTTTTTTTTTCTGTCCTTGAGAAAGACAATCTGAAATTCTTTTTCAAAATGTGCAGTACAATTTTTGCAAGATTAAAATGTGAAAAAATTAGGTAGCTACTCTTGGTAATAGCAAAGACATTGATCTATTCTATCTATGTTACAGCACATTTCTAAACCATCCTGTTACTTATCCCTCCGGAATTAAAATATATATTAGAAAAATTCTTATACAAACTTTTTGTAGGTTGTCCCAATATATTAAATCAATCTAATTGGAATTCGCGTCCATATTTATTTCGCGAGAATCTAACAACATTCCCAGTAACACATATTGTTATAAGACAATTGGGAGATTCGGAACCAATTCTAAATCAACAAGATTGTATTAGAAATATAAAAGATCTTCAAGACTTTCAAATGGATAAACTAGGTTGGGCTGATATTGGTTTTAACTTTCTCATATGTAATTATAATGATGATCAACAACAAATTTATAGAGGGAGAGGATGGATAAACCGGGGTGCACATTGTCGTGGTCATAATTACAACTCTTTGGGTAAGAATGAATTTTGCTTTTAATTTTCTACCACAACACTTTATAGGTTATTACCATTTAGTCATAGTCGTGTTTGTCTTCTTAAAATTATCAGAATAGAAAGGTGAATATTATTGAGTTGTTAAGAACTTAAGTAAGAAATCTCAAGAGAACTTGAGAAATCCTAATGCATCAATGATATATAGGAAAAAAGATAGGATAATACTGTGTCTAATTATTCATTAATTGACGTGCATCCAGAATGAAATTTATCTGAAAATGACTGTTTATAGTTACCAATATGGAAGTATCACGGTTTTATTGATAGAAGCACTTGTTCGTTCTCATCACAAATATATTCATGCTTTTATCTTATATTTGAAGTCTTGCTAGAAATTCTATGTTGATTTTTCTATGAAATTGTAGACTAGGTAAGAAACTTTAGTTACGTCAATGTTAATTCTCAATATGGCGAATTTCTGGATAGGCAACATCGATTGAAGAACCTAGATTTTGTCGAACATTCAATTATGAAAAACTTCTCTTGGACGACTAGATAGCTTTACGGAATTGAAATTCTTAATGAAGACAGATTCTTATTAATATTAACTGAAGTAAAACTTTCATGCTCTTTAATATTAACAAAAAATCATTTTATTTGAAAGTTTGTTCTTTTGCCACTCAAACTGACTAATGCATGCAATTATGAATTTCAGTTTGATCGATCAAACCGTTCTTGTTAAATAATGTAAAATACCTCCCTCTCCCTCCCCCATCCAGTCTTTAGTGATGCGTCTTTACATTCAAAACTTTTCATTATAAAAGTGATAAGAAGTGGAAGCTTCAATGTCCTTGAAACAAGTTGTGGTGAAAATATTCCAGATTGAAACTTCTATAATACATCTAAAATTGAACACAATCCCCAAATATTCATTGAGCGCAATTCCGAGATATTGTAATTGTTATATTGACTCTCAAGTTAGTATTTCAAGGTTTCAAATCATTTTTTTTCTGTTTTCTAAAAGGTATTGGTAATATCGGCAATTATGCTACTAGAAAATCTTTAAGCACGTTTAAATCATTAATTAAATGTGGTATTACAAAGAATGCTATTGTACAACATTTTATATTGGTTGGGCATGACTCATCAAAAGATATTTACGAATATTATTTGCAATACTTCAGCAATGATTCCGAATTTCAATACAACAATCAAGCTGACAGTATTCAGTATTTTTGTCAAGAATCTTAGAGTATCCGTCTCAGATGACTATTGATCCTACTGTGATCGCAAATAAGAGTGTAAATAATCATAGAAAATTTAATCAAGCATCTTCGATAACACTTATTAACCATATCTATATATAAATATGTTATAGTAACTCAAAAATATATCAACAGAGAATATTTCAGGTAATTCTGTGCAGTTTTGGCATTGTATTCTATCTTTTTAACAAAATATTTCATAAAATTGATTGTGCTGTTCATTTGGTCAATACCTAGATACCGTTATTAACAATGNCCCCACACCCACACCCACACCCACCCCCACACCCACACCCACACCCACACCCACACCCACACCCACACCCACCCACACCCACACCCACACCCTAGCTACTCTCGGCAATAGGAGAAACATTGCTTTATTCTATCTATGTTACAGCACATTTCTAAACCATCGTATTACTTATCCCTCCAGAATTGGAATATATATTAGAAAAATCCTTATGCAAACTTTTTGTAGGTTGCCCCAATATATTAAATCAATCTAACTGGAATGCGCGTCCATATTTATTTCGCGAGAATCTAACAACATTCCCAGTAACACATATTGTTATAAGACAATTGGGAGATTCAGAACCAATTCTAAATCAACAAGATTGTATTAGAAATATAAAAGATCTTCAAGATTTTCAAATGGATACACTAGGTTGGGCTGATATTGGTTTTAATTTTCTCATATGTAATTATAATGATGATCAACAACAAATTTATAGAGGGAGAGGATGGATAAACCGGGGTGCACATTGTCGTGATTATAATTACAACTCTTTGGGTAAGAATGAATTTTTCTTTTAATTTTCTATCACAACACCTTATAGGTTATTGCCATTTAGTCATAGTCGTGTTTGTCTTCTTAAAATTATCAGAAAAGAAAGGTGAATATTATTGAGTTGTTAAGAACTTAAGTAAGAAACCTAAAGAGAACTTGAGAAATCCTAATGCATCAATGATATGTAGGAAAACAAGATAGGATAATACTGTTTCTAATTGTTCTATAATTGACGTGCATCAAGAATGAAATTTATCTGAAAAGGACTGTTTATAGTTACCAACATGGAAATATCACGATTTTATTGATAGAAGCACTTTTTCGTTGTCATCACAAAGACATTCATGTTTTTATCTTATATATGAAGTCTTGCTAGAAATTCTATGTTGATTTTCCTATGAAATTGTAGACTAGGCAAGAAACTTTAGTTACGTCAATGTTAACTCCCAATATGGCGAATTTCTGGATAGTCAACATCGACTGAAGAACCTAGATTTTGTCAAACATTCACTGGTGAAAAATTTCTCTCGAGTGACTAGATAGCTTTACGGAATTGAAATTCTTAATGAAGATAGATTCTTATTAATGGTAACTATAGTAAAACTTTCATGCCTCTTTAATTTTAACAAATCAATCATTTTAGTTGCACGTTTGTTCTTTTGTCAGTCAAACTGGCTAATGCATACAATTACAAATTTCAGTTTGATCGATCAAACCGTTCTTGTTATATAATGTAAAATACCTCCCTCTCCCTCCCCCATCCAGTCTTTAGCAATGCGTCTTTACATTCAGGACTTTTCATTATAAAAGTGATAAAAAGTAGAAGCTTCAATGTCCCTGAAACGAGTTCTGGTGAAAATATTCCAGATTGAAACTTCTATAATACATCTAAAATTGAGCACAATCTCCGAATATTCATTGAGCGCACTTCCGAGATATCGTAATTGTTATATTGACTCTCAAGTTAGTATTTTAAGGTCTCAAATCATTTTTTTTTCTGTTTTCTAAAAGGTATTGGTAATATCGGCAATTATGCTACTAGAAAATCTTTAAGCACGTTTAAATCATTAATTAAATGTGGTATTACAAAGAATGCTATTGTACAAAATTTTATATTGGTTGGACATGACTCATCAACAGATATTTACGAATATTATTTGCAATACTTCAGCAATGATTCTGAATTTCAATACAACAATCAAGCTGACAGTATTCAGTATTTTTGTCAAGAATCTTAGAGTATCCGTCTCAGATGATTACTGATCCGACTGTGATCACAAATAACAGTGTAAATAATCGTAGAAAATTTAATCAAGCATGTTCGATAACACTCATTAACCATATCTATATATAAATATGTTATAGTAACTCAAAAATATATCAACAGAGAATATTTCAGATAATTCTGTGCAGTATTGGCATTTTATTCTATCGTGTTAACGAAATATTTCATAAATTGATTGTGATGTTCATTTGGTCAATACCTGAATATCGTTATTAACAATGGACTTATGAATAGGCTTGATTCATGAAAAGTGTTTCACATTTTCAAAACAGACTTGTATCGTACTTATCAAAATCTTCAAAGGATCTTTTGTTCTACTGAGGCATGCATATGTCAAAAACTGCATGGACATCTCTGATACAAAAAAAAAGAAGTAGCTTTGAAATGAAAACTAAGAAAGAGTTTTTTTCAAATAGAATACGGATTATATATAATGTTCATCTGTGCTTATATTATCCTATACATTATTCGAATATTAAACATGTCCATGCATTTACTGCTCTCGAAATTGTTGTTTCCTCATTCGACAAAATTTTCGCAACTGATTTAATAATAATTTGATATAATAAAAATTCTAGAATGAATAATTCTAACCAGACTATTATCAGTAACATATTATACAAAATAACGTGTAATAATAGGATTAATAATAATAATGTTGAACAAATATATTAATTATCATAAATAAACAAACTATTTTGACCAACTTTAAGTGCTCAGATGAAAATATCTTCAAAATCGGGATGCAGCTGTAGTTGTTTTTTGGTTCTCTTTAGTCACACTCTATATCGTGATCGTGTCAGATTCTTTGAATACTGAATTTTGATATTCGTTTTTCCTCGATGGAAACCAGTTATATTTTACTTTTATATTTAAAGTAACAGAACTGTTCATGGGTCATTTGAATATTTCATTGATTGATATCAAACAACGTCTCTACTCTGAATGAAGCACTTATAATGTTGATGGAAAGAAAAGATGACGTACTGATAATACGACCAGCTTCAAAATATTTTTCGCTTATTAGAATGTTTTTGATGAATTTCATACAGCTTTAATTAATAAAACCATTGAAGCTGCTTTTATTTCTCTACAAGATTCGTACGATATTTAAAATATTTGGCTGAAAAATGAAGATTAACCATTGAATCGTTAATGATAGTGTGATAATGCATCTTTTATGTTGCGTCTGCTCTACATCAAATGTGACATATTTTGTAAGGAATGTTATTATAATATAAATACTGTATTGTATGAGAGTACGGATGCGTTTGAGTGTGATTAACGCGAAAATCCACACTCTATCTGATCCAAGTCAATAAAAAAAACTCGTCCATTACCAATCAAAGCTCACCATCGACTATCCGATCAAGTCACTAATATAACTTAATAAAATTTTCAACTCATTACAGAAAACATTCCAATTCAATAGAGATTTCATTTCATGTTGGATAGATTCACATACATATCCTTCTTCAGCATCCATCGCTAGAAACTATCCTGCAACAAAAGGAATAGCAGACTTCACATACTAACAGAATACACAATAAATAAAAAATAAGATTCGAATTATTATTTAGGTCATAATTTCAATACAATCTTCGACAAAACGAAATAATCTGCTAACATGGCCCTGGTAGACGCATACAATCATATTCATTTCATTAAGGTATTTCACTCAATGCAACATCTTATTAGAGACTGGAAACGAATGCAGCCATGAGAAGGAAAAGCCATGAATCAGTCATGACAACTTCTTCACGTCAATTAAGTGAGTCTTGCCCTCAATCACTGTGATGCCAGAGTGATAAAATATCATAAAAACAAAACAATAAGACGAATGTGAGTAGTCAAGATCATCCAACAAAGTCAGAATGAAAATCTTGTGTGTAAAAATTGAGATTTTCAAGAGAAATTTAAAATGAATTACTTTACATCACACAAAAAAGTTACATCTCAATAAGTCATGAGTGATCAATGCAATCCAGATTTTCGTCATTAATTCAATTACTGTCTTCATCAGTAGGAAAACAGTGTTTCTTCATGCAACTTGAATTATTTATTTAAATCTGCATTATATTATCCATCGATTCTAAAACAATTAAATCATGATCTTTTCCTCCAACTCGAAAACGGGAATAAGGAGAAAATAACCATTCTTGTTCAGCTGTAAAACACGAAATATTTGCAATATCTCTCACTTGACGACAACCAGCAGAAATTCGAATTTCAAATAAAGTGTTACCAAAACGTCTTGCTACCTCTCTCAGCGTGCTTGTAGAAGTAAATCCTGGAAATCGGAATTTTTTGCCAGACGTAAAAAACTTACGATCTTTGTTACTAAGATCCATACCACGATAGACTACACAATCGCACGACGGACCATTATTGTTAATTTGGCTTGTAGCTCGACGAATAAATGGTATCAGGTGTGTTAATGTGGTTTTATTGTCGTTGCGTAATTGCTCATTAACATAGTTGTAGAATTCTGTTGAGCCAAACATCTCATTGGAACTATATGCCCTTAATACATTGTATTCAGATTCATCTTGAATTAATTGAAGTATTGGGTGATCTCGGTCATGTATACGTCTCAAACGAAGTAATGATTCAATGATTGTATCATTTGAGGGAGATCGGTTCGTTTGATTGTAAAGCATAAGAAACTGGCTTTTCTGAAATTGTTCGTCATTAACACCAAGTATTGTCTCATAGAACCTGTTTCTTCTGAGATGACTTGGCTCATCTAGATATAAATTATTAATTGCATGAATAGTCTCTATCAAAATCCTAAGAGTTATTATTTTTGGATTCATGTGGCTCTCCCTATTATAGTGGATAATCTTGTTTTCGACCCTATTCCATACTGATCTTTGCTACCTTAATCAAACGAAAATATAACGACAACTAATTAATTCATGTTATTGATAGTTTCGCCTGATTTAATTCAAGATTGGGCCAAAAAGTTTTAACATAGGTGTTCGATGTAGTGCTAATTTTCATCAGTTTGAATCACAAAATTATGTCTTTCAGTAGATAAAGAAAAAAAAATACTAGTTAGGCCAACAATAGCCTCTGTAAGCAATGATATGATGAAGTTAAAAATATAATAAATAGGCATGTTCCTCTAGCATAAGACATTAATTAAAGTTGCTTAATAATTGAGACAATTTCATTAAAAACTGAAATAAATGAATGTATGTTGATCTTTCATGTGTGAAGTATGGTTTTGAAAGCTATTTATTTTCAGTTTTATTGTTGATTCATCAAACTGATCGTAGTGAAATTTTAAATGATAGAGTTGAATGTTTTCTTGCATATTTGTTGTCTTAGAACTGTATAGAATGTTAAAGAAGAAAACATTTTTGATATGAGTAATCATGCGCCTTGTTAATGAAGTGAACGTCTAATATCCTACAAATTCTGAATGTGTTGTGATTTTTCTCTTTGAAGGATGGACAAATCATATTAGAGTTCTTTTTCAATTAGTAGAAAATAACTATGCTTGTATATTTTTTACGTAGGTAAACTCTGTAACGAAGAATAAAGTGTTGGAAAAACTACAAAATGAGCTAAATATACACGGTTGCTTACATGTAGGCATGTACCGAGCCGGAGTAGCTCGGGCTCGGCCAGGCTCGGGCTCGGCCAGGCTTGGGCTCGGTCAGGCTCGGGCTCGGTCAGGCTCAGGCTCGGTCAGGCTCGGGCTCGGTTAGATTCGGTTGAGCTCAGTAAGGCTCGGTCAGACTTGGGTTCAGCTTTTTTTCCTCCCCTCAATGGAGTTTCTTAAGCGTTGTTTTCTTTCGTGTATCATAGTCAAATCTTTCTTATGATTATTTCAACATACTAACCGACAGAATATCTGAAGCTTATACATGGTCATACAACTCGGCTTTATGACCGTTAATCCATCTGCTGGTTTGAATATTACGATCTATATGAGAAGAATTCAAATCACAGAAGCGAATGTTTTTATTTCATTATTTATTATCTAAAC